TGCTAGCATGTACTTGAAAGACGTTGCGTACCGCAGGCGCCTTGAGTGCATAGCACAAGTGTGGCTAGTTGTCAGTGTTCGGAGCGCCAATTGCCAGACTTCAGTTGCTAAGCCCTAAACCCTCAACCCCGACACTTTAAGCTGGCCGAAAGGTGATACGTCATGGCGAGCGACAGGAGACCTGGCCCAGAGAGTTTTTTCGTTTTGTGGTTACGGTTTAGAGACCTCGTTCAAAAGGGTTTAGGGATTTGGGTTTAGGGTTTAGGGTTTAGGGTTTAGGGATGTTAAGGGGTAAGTGTTTTTGCCCAGAGCTCTTATATTTTTTAAAGAGCCCGGACGTCTGTCAGGTGTGGGGCTTTCAGCGCCTACAGTCTGGGGTTCGGGGTTGGGTTCGATTGTGATTGTTCTCCTGCATGCAGTGTTTTCAGTGCCTGCAGATGTTTGCAGTGAGCTCCAGAAGTTGTAACTTGGGATGATACTGATGTCCCAACTTTCTGGAAGCGACCTTGGCTTGGGTAGACCCCTAGACCTGTGAACCAGAAACCCCCCCAACGCCTAACAACAAGGACTCAACCCTAAACCCTAAACCCCTAAACCCTCGCATGGAAAAAAACCCTGAAGCCCTAAACCCTATAAACCCTAGACCCCTAAACCCTAAACCCTGAAGCCCTAAACCCTAAACCAAGGACTCAGTCTTCTGCTCTGCATGGCATGGCACGGATGACTGTCAACAGCATCCCTTTGACTGCCCAATCAGCGACCATGCTGTTCTCGATGCGAGGCCGGAGCTTGTGAAAGGCCCTTAGTAGCTGAGTAGGTAACCTTTAACCTTTTTTTGGGGCTTATATAATCCTACCATAATTGAAAGGTTAGCCTTTTTTGGGCTCAGGTACTCGGCCCCTGAGGACCACTGTCGACACCAAACGTGCATGAGGGTAGTTCTCTAAGTTGGGGTCTCTCTTGGGGTCATTCTTATAACAATTATAAGGTTGCCGTACTATCTTGGGGGTCGAAAAGGGGACCCTAATTTCGAGAAGTAGAGAGGAACATAAAGCATTGACGCCTAGCCCCTTACGCAATGTAGTGCTATTTGCGTTCAATGGCGAAGGGTTTATGCTTATGCTCTTACCTCCGGGGTTTTTGGGCCAGCAGGCTCTGAGGGGTTTAGGTTTAATGTGGAGCTTTTGAGGTTCGAGGGTTTCGATTGCATTGTTCAACATAATGTATGGAACGAGCTTTTACCTAGGGGCGGGGGAGCATGAATGCATCTTAGAAGCTTCTGTGAGCCCTTTGGGCCACACAATCCACACAACTTCGAGCCCTCCATCCGTGAATATGCAGGCATACGGCCCGCCAGCTGCGGAACTTCGCAGATTTCGGCGTGATCGTGGCTTCGCCTTACCTACGCTGCGTGCAAACGGCGATAGCTCTGGCGGACCATACGGGGCTTTAGTGTCCTGTAGGTCTTGGAGGCATGAACTCGACATCGATGTATGGACCGTTTTCCCTGAACTGGAAACCTTACGCTGGATCTAGAAGGTCTTGCCCTACCCTTTTTGAGGGTACCTAGTCGTCAATATAAGAGACCCTAACCATGAAACTATACGTACCTTGAAACAGGGCTATGACCCTCTGGCTGTAGTCAGTGTAGTCGTTGAGAAAGTTCCGGGCTCGGGGTCTGTCTCCTGATGCAGCGCGGAGCGTTTAGGGTTTAGGGATGGTTTTTTTTCGAGGTAGAGAGCCGATACCCTGGACCTGGGCACAGGCTTCAGGAGATTGAGGGGATTTCTGGGTACTCCGTTGTAGGTTGAGCTTAAGGCAACTAGGCCACCGACATACTCCTCCTGTTCCCAGACAGCCCTTAAAGGAACCCTTATAAGCAGCTCAAGGCCCCACCCTTCTTGAAAGTTGTCTGTAGGGCTTCGACTGAAGCTGCAACCATGAGGCCTCCAGTCTACAACCCCTCAAAGGGTTGATTCCAGTATCACGCCGACTCGGACCTATGGAACCTCGCCTGGCTTGTCCGAGTTCTGAGAGCGTAAAACACCCACTTTGAAGGGTTTTGGGTCTTGGGCCCGAGCCTCAGCTGGCGTTTAGCCTTTAGGGTTTAGGGTTTATGGTATAGGCTTTAGGGTTTAGGGTTTAGACTTTAGGGTTTATAGTATTTAGGGTTTAGG